TATGTAATCTGGTAGTCCTCCGGTTTGGTCTTTCTTTGCTGTGATTGCGTTGCTTTCACTTGCCAGGCTCGGTTCAAAGTAGTTTTTACCCTGAGGTTTTGGCCGTCCTCAAATATTTTCTTAAGGGTCTTTATCTCGTTTCGCATCTCGCTTATTGCTATGGTCTGCATGATGCTCGCAATGTTTCCCTCGGTTTTCTGGTTTTTCTCCTCGCTCATCATTGTTAGAATCAGGTCAGTAAGCTTCTGAACCTTTTCTTTGACGATTTTTTTTTCTTTTTTTGAGGAGAAAATCTTCATAAGACACCCATCTGATGTTCTGCTGAGTGCTGCTGTCCATGTTATTGTCAGCTGGGTAGGATGTGGGATTCACCACTCTCTTGAAAGGTACCTACCCACTTAAAAACTCCTCCTGATGCTTCGTTCGAAGTCTTCCCCAGCACTGTCCGTTTGTGGATATACTTCGGGGGGAAACAACGGAACTCCGCCACGAGTGACTTCATGTGCCTTTGTCTGCGTTGTAACTCAAGTTTTTTTTCTTCTTTCTCCTTGATTGCAACCATCCTGTCCATCATTTCGCGGATGTACCTCCATTGTTCCTCGCTCCTCAGCATTTCCTCCACCATGTTTTCGGCGTTCAGTTTTACTCATATACCTAACTGTCTCCTGTCTGACTCTTTCAAATCGGATGCAGTGGAATAGCATGTGCTCGGGGGTATCTCTCTCCTCGTCTCCATACATGCACCTCTCATCGTCGCGTTTCTTAAAACGACACAAGTATACGCCGAAAACCCGTGACCTCTCATAAATTGTGTCATGGAGTACGACAGATCTCCTTTCTTTCTCACGACCCAGTCCATCACGTTTCTTATTAGTTTGCGTGTCCAAGATGCCACACCGTTCTCCCCGCTCGTCTGCCATTCCGCTTGCCACCTATCAAAAGTTCTTTGCCTCTTCTCGCAATCTCTCTCGGAGATTTCTCTCTCCGCCCCCTCTGCACGTCTCCTATATAGGTTCTTTCTTTTATCAACTCAGTTATTGGAATTAGGCCAGCGAGCAGCACAGCTGCATCCGAGGACACCGTTTGGTAAGCCCTGATGCACTGCAGGACCACCTTCCTTTGGCAGGACGCTAGACTCCTGCGATGGTCCTCCGACATTAGGCAGAATCCCTCCTATTGCTTTAAATACGTTATTGGCCTTCTTAACAGCTTCTTCAATATGGCGGCTAAAGAAGAGTCCCTAATCTATGGTTACTCCCAGGTATTTAATGTCTTTACTTGGCCTTATCATGTGCTCACCAAGCTTGAAGGATTTCGTCCATTTGTCGCCTATTTTTGTAGCTCCAGCCGAACACCACACAAGCTGTTTTCTCTGGAGCAACCTCCAGCTGATTTTTTCCATCCAACTCTCTATTTTGTACAGGACGCTGTTGCCCCTTTGGATCGATTCTTCAATGCTGTTGGCTGTGACCAACACGGCCAAGTCGTCCGCATAGCATATTATCTCCACGTCCGTCGGGGTATCCAGTTCCATAACGTCATCATACAGTACATTTCACAGGGTGGGTCCCACCATCGAGCCCTGCGGAACGCCTGCCCATACATCGACCAAGAGACCATCTACCAGGTCCACCTTCCTATCTGTGAGGTATGAAGCAATTATACTCTGCAGATAATCTTTGATACCGCGCTTTTTAAGCTTGCTCGTTATGAGGGTCCAGCTCGCGGAGTTGAACTCATTTTTAACATCAATACAGATCAGGCTGTTGATCTCACGGTTATGGTCTTTAATTGTTTTCATTACCCTGTATACAGCATCGACTGCCGACCTTTTTTTCCTGAATCCGTATTGATTGTTATGCAGCCCTCCCCTTTCGCCAATGTTCTCCTGCAACCTGTTGTTTATTATCGACTCCGGCACTTTGCCCGCGACATCCAGCAGGCATATCGGCCTATACTTTCTGTCGGTATTGCCCGGTTTTGTTGGCTTGTCTACCAGGATCAGCTTGGCTACCTTCCATCTTGCGGGGAAGTAACCGGTCTCTAAT